GAGGATGTATTTTGAACATGTCAAATCCTGCTTCCCTATTTAGAAACAAGCTATTTAAAAACAAACAAACAAATAAACAAACAAACTCTGGAACTGGACATCCTATTCCTTACTCTCACTAAAAAAGACCCAAACGAACAAGTCTGGAAGTTTTTTAGCCCAGTGCAGTAATAGCTTTTCTTTAAGATCAGACCATTTTGTTTTGTTGTTTGGTCGTTTTTAGTTTTTTGTTTTGATTTGTTTTCTTTTGTTTTTCCTAAGCAGTCACACAGCTTTGTGAGACTATTCAACAATTAATTTAAGAGCTGTATGGATAGAAATCATGTTATGCATTGTCTTGCAAGAGTGACTTCTTTCATTGTGCATTCATTATTTTCGTGATTGGAATAACTGCTTTGTATTTCTTCCTCCAAATAAAATATTTATTAGTAAATCTCGCACTGCACAAATTAATGCTGTTTGATTTCTTTCTGGGCGTCCTCCTTTTTTTCAGCATTAATGCTTAGACTTACAGCAAACACTCTGAGTAGTTTGTGTGTTTCATTTGGAGAAATACTTGCCTTTGGGCAAAAGACACAAAAGCCCAAAAGACTGAGTTTATGGGAAGTCTTTGTTTTAAGGCAGTGCTAGAAGGGGAATGGCACTGATGGCAGCTGTACTTCAGCTGGGACACGAAACACTCACCTCTGTGGGGTCTTCAAGTCTTGTGGAAAACATTCCTAGAGACTTCTCTGACAAAATGAGTTTACCTGTTACTGTGGCTTAGTTGCAATTTTATAATCTTGTCTTGAGTAAATAACACCTTGTCTTGGCATGTTCCCAGGAGCAGGACAAGGAGACAGGAGCTATTCCCTGCTTAGTAGTGGGTCAGCGAAATAACCCGAGCTGCCAGTCACAAGGATGCTGGGATCGAGCTGTTGTCCTCCAAACCCAATGTCACTGACTAGTCACTTGCTGCCTGTAACGTATCAATGACTATGAGCTGGGGTATTCTTTTACTCCTGGCTTTCTCCATCCTCCTGCTGTTTATCTCTGAGGAACTTCAGCCAAGCTAACCCCAGTGTTTCAGGGATTAGTTCCCAGAAGAAGCTCAGAGAGGAGCTATCAGCTGGGAGCTGATTAAATGCATCTGAGCTCAGCCCTGTGATACTCTCAGTTGGGTGAGGAAGACAGCAGGCTTTGCTGAAGGCTGTGAGATGAGGGGCTCTGACCAAAAAGTACAGCCATGCTTGATTTTTAAAGTGATGGGTTTTGTTTACTTTAGCCTTTGTCCAGCTGCAAGCTGTGAAAGACAACTACAGGTTGTTGTTAATAGGCAACAATTTGGCTTTAACTTTAAATCCTTTAAGTGAAATCCTGCAGGAGGTCAGTGGTTTTGTAATCTGACTTGAGCCTCTGGAAACTTTTCTCTGCTCTCATTCCACCCATATAAAATGAATGCATCTTCATTAGTTTGTGAGTGTGTAGATGCTGTATTGTAACATTTGTAAGTGCTGGCAGGAATGGAAAACGCTCAGCAAGAGGAATTTTACTTCTCTCTTTGGTTATGGTTTGTTCTTAAACCATCAAACATCTCTTTCAATAAAAATAACTAATGTGTTTATTTTTACTGGAGCAGGATAAGAAATTTGCATTAAAGAAATTACTCTATTCATCTTTTTTAGATCGGGCACAAGTTGTGATTTTCTCATTTGTACTTACTGTTCAAAAAGATTTACAGAATATTTTTTATGAATGAATTTGTTGGCAATTCATCCACAAACAGTTTGGTATGTGTATTAATTTAAACAATCGATTAAAATAGATTTCAATGTCCAAACATCTTTGATGACTTTGGAAACCTCAAGGTAATTAATCAAAATCTCAGCTGTTTCTTTTCAACAGGCATCTAGCAAGACAATAGCAACTTTAGGATTGTTTTTTTCAGTGTTGTCTTGCTATTATAAATTGGAGCTGTGTTATTCTGCAGTATTGTGTATTATTCAGTGGTGCCACTAAAGTTAGTGGGAAATATATTAGAATTTGTAATGGGACTAGGGTTTTATCCACTGTTTCACTGTTTTATCACTGTTTCAGCTAATATACAAGTCATCCAACTCCCTCTCTAGTGCACTGGAGGAAGGGGAGCAATGAGGCACTAACACAGTCAGAATTTTAGTGTTAAAACCTCAAAAGTAAATATTCAGGTAAAATATTTGGCAGTATAACCCAACTTTAACTTTCACATTTTAAAGGTTGATCTTTCATGTCCCCTCAAGTTCTTTGTTCGCCTGAGTCCCTGGATAAAGCTCATGGAAAGTCAGAGGATATCTTATGTCATCACTATTTGTGTTAATGGCTTAGGAACCCACAATCCAATCAGTTAAAATAAACAACCCAGTGTAATAGGAGCATAAATCAATGAAGACTTCATTACTGAAACCTTAATGTGTAATCCATCCACCTACAGAGGAAAGGGATACTGAGAGGCAGCAAGACAAAACCAGAGGACAGTCTGATTTAGCCAATCCTGATACTTAAAAAGGTGCTGAGAACATTAACTCTTCCTAGAGTCAGTAAATTTGATGGATACTCATCACTCCTGACAGCCTCCCCCTGACTGTTAAGTCCCTATGCTAAAAAATGCCAAGAAACTCTTGGGAAAAGAGCTCTGAATGCTCTTTGTTTGCTCTTGGAGGATTGAGCTAGCTCAGGAATGTGGACTAATGAACAAAGACATGAATAAAGAAGATTGATGGAGGACTAAAACTATATGTCTTACCTCTAAAAGTAACATCATGCAGAGCTGCTCTGACCCTGCTGCAGACTTTACTCATTCTATGGTCCCTTGAGCCAGTAGCACAAATTTGGACTCCTCCAAGGTGAGGGTGGCAATAGCTGGTGAACCAAGAGTTATTGGATTTCATTAAAGCCACGTATTCTGTTTGTCTTGGCTCTGAAAGGAGCAGTAATCCTATCCTAATACCAAGCCTTTTGATTTCAACAGAGATCATAAAAGGGCTGAACTTTTATGTTCCGTGCAGAGATCTCTGCTTGTTGAGTTAATAACGAATGGAAACAGCAGGGGCTCGCTCTGGGTGTGGGCCAGCTCTGAGATGGGGATGAGACAAGTACTTTGCCTGTGGATTTTAGCTAAGAGCAAAAGTAAGGTGAGCCTTTAGAAAGGCAGCAGTGCTCACAGACACTCCTCCCCTGAGTCCCCATTTCAGAAGTGATTCTCTGCCTGTTTGCTCCAATCTCTCATCCTCACCTGACTCCTCTTTCTTCCTTTCTTCCTTCCCCTTCCCCAACCACATCTTGTTCTTTTCTCTTACTCCCCTGCTGATACTCTTGTCCCTGTTCCTCGCTTATGCCACTATGAAATATGTATTGAGCAGTGAAAGTTTGAGAGCACTGGTAATTGACTGACACCAGTGTGATGGGACGTATGGTTTTCAGAGATTTGGAGTTTTTTAATAACTGTGATTAAAAAAAAGAAATCTAAGAATACACACAATGTTTAGCACACAGAGGCTAGGAAACATTGGCACTAATGCAGATATTTTGTGCAGAAAATGGCACGTACAGTTTGCCAATACAGAAGATTTGGCTGAAGGGAGCTGCTGAGCATCCTACAGGTTTCTGTGACAGAGAAGGAAATCTGTTTCTCCAGACTGACAGTCACCTGCTCTGACTGAAGACTGACCATTTTCCTGCTTCATCCCTATGTCGCACTCCATGCATACCCTCCCCAACTAAAAAAAAGGAGGAGGTGTGCACTACAGCTCCTTAATTAACTACACAACCCTCAGCACCATGTCAGCTTATGCTGTGACTTTCTCAGGAATATACTGGTAAAAAAGTGTCCATTTGAATCAGTAGCCATTATTACAGACCTGAATTAGATTTCTCTGTTTCTTTCTAGAGTTTCTTTTTACTAGATGTTACTTCTCAATTCCTTGTCTTAAATTTTCAGTTGCATAATGTTAAATATGTCAGAGAACGGTTGAATCAATTTGGCTGGTAAAATGATCCCATATATCCAGAATAGATACCAGCAGGATAAATTTCTGAAGCAGTTCCATGTTCAGAAATATAGGAGCCATATATTTTTAAGATATTATCCTATTGTCATAATTTAATTGGGGATAAAGTTATTCCATTATAGTTTATGTGATCCTGAGGTTCTTTGGGACCAAGGCTACACAAATGTAAGCTTTCTGTTATATTGGGAATTTGTATTGTGTTGTATCTGTTCAGAAATTATGATATCCAGAACTTAACCCAAATCCCTCATGCAGCAATGCAGACTGGTGATTAATTCTTCAATCACAGCAGTGGAATCTGTTTGGAGCAGGATTAAAGAAGGGGTCTAACATATCACACAGATGAATGGTCAATATTATGTGTTGTTTTCTCCTCAAGTACAGTATATCTTATTTCCTCTAGTGCAAAATTTAAAGTGACTCTAATGCAGAATATGTGATGTTAAAGTGTGGTTGTTATTTGGTCTTAAAATTAAATTATATTAGTTTAAAAACAAATTTAGGGCATTTTTCTGCTCTTCAAATTCAAAACTTTCACATGGTTGTAGCTGCAAAGACAGGAGAATTTTCTTGTAAATTGGATTAATGTAATTTAAATATTTTGTTCTTCAATTGCCAGTAATAAGAGATGCTGTCGTGGAAAACCACCTCGCATTTAACATTTCTATGTAATACAGAATTTCCTCAACTTTGAGGTAGCCAGATCAAAAAAGGAGAGCTTCAATTTAGAATTTGTATGTAAATTCTACAGAAATGCTACCATGTATTAAATATTGTGTAGTATGATCTGTCAGAGGCTTTTAAAATGTGTTACCAATATGTTTCCACAAATTCACTGGCCAGATGGCACAGAAAGTGCTCAGTATCCAAACAAGGATCTCAGTGCCTCTGCACTGCATGATACACTGCAGCCCTGTGCAGCATGAAGTTCACTGTTCTGAACTGATTCTTGAATTTGGGGTGTTTTCATTTCAGAGCTCCCGTGACAAGGATGTCATCCTGAACATTCTCAGTGTCCTCACTGACTTGCTGTCTCTGGGTAAGGAAACAGAGGTCTGGGACAATGGCTGTGGATTGTGGTGAGAAAGGGGTCCTCGAGTAGGTCAAGGAATTCATTCCTGCATAAACTTGGCCAGGCGTTTGCAAGGTGAACAAAATATGAATTATATGTATAGATCAGCAGTCACTACTCCTATGTTTGGAAAACTGAGCTTATTCAGTGAGTTAAAGAAAAAAAAAAGACCCAGAGAAAGTTTCATTTTTTTTTGTTGTTGTTAAAAGATGATCGTGGGTTTCGAAGTACTTCATAATCCCTGTCAGTCAACCACTAGAAATATTCACCAGTACCACTGGAGAAAGGGCTGTGAGACAGGACGAGGAGCTTGATTTCCCAGAGCCCAGGGACTCTCTAATGGACTCTCTCCCCAGAAAGCACCTACACCTTGGCCTGCAGGGAAGGGATATCACTGCATGTGCCCAGGCCACATCAAAAAAATAAGTGAATTAGCAAAAGAACTGAAAAAAGATGAGAAAGTTTCTTTTCCTTCCTGACATAAAAATGTCATTTGCTAAACAACTCCCAAGCCAGCCAAGCTGCCAGTCCGTGGGGGCTACAGTGGTGAGTGCTGGAGCTTCTTGGGTTCCTCACTGCTTGAAATCCTACCATAGGCATTGTCTGTCCATCTGGGCCTCTCTTTTGGAGCCCTGCAGCCCCGTTCCTCAGCTGGGTGGAAGGATTGTCTACATGGAGATAGGAGACACTGCCCCCCTCCAGGAATTGAACAAGCAGCATCCTCCAGCTACAGAGCCTGAAGTCGCTGCCCAAGTCGCCCATGGGTCAATATTTGTTAACACAGTGGGGCTCACAGGATTAGACTGTGGTTTCTTTGGAGACCTAGATTTATATGAAAGCTGTCTCCAAGGCTTCCCTAGGCTTCCTTTTCATTTGGCAGAAGCCCGTTGCAGCTTTAGTCCTTTCCTTGTTTAATTTCCAATATCTAAGAAAAGATCACTGAGCCTTCTGCTCCTTTGAAACCTGTCGGTGTCTCTGCTTATTCCTCTCTGCCACATTTCAATGCACAGTGAAAAACTCCTGCATCATGTGGGTTTGGGAAGACAATGACTGTTGTAGTAACAGGCAGCAGAGCACATAGTTCCACCACGCAGCCATTAGCCGTATCTCCAGGCCAGGGGCACCTGAGATCCACGGCCAATTCTGCAAATGCTCTTGGATTTACAGCCCTAAAATACTGTTGAAAGGCCATGGAAACTGTGTGCTGAGGGTTTGTGGTAGCTGTGGCTCAGGGAAGGGATGCTCTGAGCGGTCTGTTCTCTTTTCCCCAGGGACTGGACGGAGGATCCACTACGTGATCAGCAAAGGGGGCAGTGAGGCGTTGCTGCAGGCCCTCTCTGCCGCCGCCCGGACCGAGCCCCCCGACCACAGCACCCTCCTGCCCCTGCTGCGTCTGCTGGCCAGGGTTGGCCAACGAGGTACTGCTGGGTGATGGGGGGGTTTCTTGGGTGGGGGGCTCAAAACTGAGGATGACCTTATTGTGACCTTCCAGTAGTTAAAGGGGGCTTACAAGAAAGGTGGGGACAGACTTTTTAGTAGGGCCTGTTGCTATCGGACACGGAGTAACGGTTTTAAACTGAAAGAGGATAGATTCAGACAGGATATAAGGAAGAAATACTTTTATGGTGAAGGTGGTGAGGCACTGGCACGGATTGTCCAAAGAGGTGATGGATGCCCCATGTCTGGAAACATTCAAGGTCAGGTTGGATGGGGCTCTGAGTAACCTGTTCTAGTGCAACTCATTGCTGGGGAGTTGGACTAGGTGGGCTTTAAAGGTCCCTTTCTACCCAAACTATTCTATGATTTGTATATGGTGACTGCAGGCAATCCCATATTTTCCTGTTTTTGGTGGGATTAATGCTGGTTTAACTCATTGATACAAATGAATGCCTTTGTTATGAGATCTTGAGTTACCAGTTCTGGTGCAAATATGTTTATCAGCTCTGCTGCAAAGACCTGGTCTTTGCAATAGTTTGATTCTTATTTGCTTTTCACAGATAGAAAGTTTGGCCTGAAAGTGCAGAAGGCAGAAGCCACTGATATAATACTGAGCTTGACAAGAAGAAACCTGGACCACCACCTGCCCCTCACCCACTGCCTCTGGGTCCTGAGGGTTTGTGCTTCTAATGGTGAGTGCCAGGATTTTCCTCTTTTTCTCTGTGTGATAGCTGCCAGAGTTCTTCTTTAGTCATTTCAATGCAAAGAAACATTAGTCCTGATAAGGTTAGTGTCTGCATGCACCATTAATGTACAGAATCAGGCACAAAAGCCAGAACAACCATAGAAAAAGGGGCTCCTCTAGGGGCCTATGCAGCCTTTACAGTGCATTTCATCTACAGACTATGGAAATAAAAGTGCTGTAGTGAAAAATATTCATGGCAATGATCTCCTATTCTAAAAAAAAGACAGTCAATTCTTTTGCTCTGAGATTTGGGTACTTTAAGTCTCTATGCAGCTCCCATTACCATAACAGCCAAATGTCTCACTACTGTTGATTGTATTGATCCTCAGAGCAGCTCCATGAGGAAGGAAAAACGGGTGGAGAAGCAGAGTGAGAGAAAAATCAGTTACACATTCAAGGTCCCCCAGGAAGCAGATATTAGATCCTGGTCTTCTGTCTAATATTCCCCCACCCGTGCACTCTCCCAGCTTTTCTTGGTTGGCAATGCCCTCATGTTAAATGATTCAGGCAATGGGATTTCCAGTATTCTCTCCTGGGATCATTAGAGATTCATACAGGCTTTCCCTGCTATGAAGCACTGAGCTTGTTAGCACAAATTTCCCTTTGCTCACTCTAACCCTTTCCTCTCCTTCTCCACATCCCTCACCCAGCATATAATTCTTGATGGCCATCCTGTCTGAGTCTAATATATGCATCCTGAGATTTAGCACTCCTGGCGCCCTGCCCTTCAGGTCCCTTCTCTATGTACAGGAGTTACTTTCATGCAATGGGCTCCCTCAGGCAAGCATCCAAACCTCAACACTCAACCCCTCTACCCATGATAAGCAGTATTTGAAAGGCTGAGTGTGGCTGAAAATGCAGCCAAGGCCAGAAGATGAAACGTGCCTTTATTTGGGTTTCACAGCTGCGCAGTGACCCTGGGCTGCCTCCCACACAAAATATGATCTACACACTTCCCAACTCCCTGCTTCAGTGCACCTGCATTCCAGTTCAGCTGCAGTTTTTGCAGAGGTTTTAGGATGCACATTGCAGCCTGACCTCCTTTCTGTTAATGTCAGACCCCAGAACCCCAGCTCTGCACCTTTGCTGGAGCAAGTCTATTATTCTCCAGGTACCTCCTGCACTCTCCAGATGTGCTTCCCCTCCATGAGTAGCTTTAGCTTTGTGGGCTCTGTGGCCCAGCTGGGAAGATGCAGGGGAAGTTAGGTGAAAGTCTATGTGGATGTGGTACCAAACTAGGGGATTACATGTTCCCAACCTTAAAAATTATGTTTATGGAGTGGAACTATAGGGAATTCAGAAGCATATTATACTCTGAGTGCTTAGGTATGAAAGCAAAAATGATGAGTCCTTGTTTCATCTCATGAACTAGTTCTTTACTCTGAGTTGCTCCTTTCACTATAACCAGATGTGTCTGGCTGCCCATGTCCTGCTCTGGGGCAGGATGAGTTCGAACAGCCTTGTCCTCCACCGTGTCTCTAATGAATTACAGGCAAGTGTGAATGTAGTTGGCAAGCCTTGCAAAGCTTTCCATCACAGGAGAGCTTGGCAGGGACACGGTAGGATGAGAGAAGATGATGGGCCCTCTGGCAGCTCTCTGATGACCACTGGGAGATATCTACAAAACAGCCAAAAACCAGCAGTGGGAAGGCAGCCAGCTCCCCTGGCTGCTGTTGATTACTGATCCTTTCACCTTGGTCGCTTGCATTTAATATTTCAGGGCTGTTTTTGTCCCTTCATTACACAGAGATGCTGTCTCATGGTGGGGAAGTCTTGCTAAACACCTAGTTTATGCATCAGGCATTTTTGGAATTGATTGTAAAATTTATCTATGAAAGTTCCTAGTGTGTTAACAAGCGAAGGATTAAAGGGAAAACTGGCCTAGATGAAATTAAGCTGCATTCAGAAGCACCCCTGCCCCTAAACCTCACTTCCATCCTGCTGAATAATAGCAGAGAAAGAAAACTCTGCCCTCCAAGATCCTATAAAATGAACCGTCCTCATGGAGTTGCATGTAGAAAATGTGGGATGAATTTGTCATTTTTCTGGGAGAAGACCTTATTTAATTACAATTTGTTGTCTGGAGAGTACAATACCTACAGGAAAAGGGGCTTTGGGGAACTTGAGAAAGAGCTGCAGGACTTCTTTTTCACCTGATCTTGGCTCTGGTTGCGTCCACAGACAGCTTTATGCTTCACTTTCTGTGTTTGTAAGGTGACCTGTGGAGTCCAGATGGGAGCTCAGAGAGTTCACAGCCTCAGGGGCAGCTACTCCCTTCCCCACATCTCCTCTAAAACACATTAACAGACTGCCTGCTTCAGAGCTGACTGCTTTTTTCTTTTATTGCCTTAGTTACCACAGGAACTATGCTTGGCATCAATGGAGCCATGGAGCTGCTTTTCAAAGTCATCACTCCCTACAGCAAGAGACACGTCAGGACGGTCAGGTAGGCAGAAGCCCCAGGGAACTCATCTTTCCAGGACAGCAAGAAATAAAATTTTGGTTCCACTTGAAGAGGCATAGAAATCAGAAATGTATGCAGTTTCCACTCACTTTAAATCTGCAGGTTTTTTTAAGAGGCAGAAATAGTTCCCTGAAGGACACATTAATGCCATGATTCATCATATGAATCATGCTGGTGGCCATTTGTTTGTGGTGTACCCTACACAGGGATGGCAATTTGATTGCAAGGTATCTTCCTTTGTTCCCCAGCCACAACTGGGTTTTGAGAAGCTTGTGCTGGCAGCAGACAAACTGCTTCTATTTACCCCTTAGCAAGAACCTCCTGCCACCACCAGCCTTGGGGGCAGGTACAGTGGAATCGTGGCAGTACTTGCCTCATCCTCCTTTTCCAGACAGTCATGATGATATGCAAGTCATCATGATATTTTTGAAGTATGACAGTTCTTACTAGTATCAATCTGCATCTGGTTTTAAGCCCATCCCACATATTTCAAATAGTTCTTTTCTGAAGACAGCAAGTCCATTTTATATCTCCATCTTAATGCCAAATGACCACTTCCTCAGATGCCTTTCAAGGCAAACTTTGTAATGTGGAGAACACTGCAGAAGGACACATTTCTGTGACTTGCTCTTTAAAAACAGGAGGAAGAATTTACTGCTGTGAGGTGTACCCACACAATCCCATTTGCTTAAGCAACACAGAACCTGCCAGTTCTCCTGCTGAGACGTGCAGTGGTTTGTGGACTACACTCTACTTCCTCATGCACATCTCAGCAAGGACATGGAGCATTCAGTTGGCTTTGGCTTCTGCATGGACCTGACATGGGTGAGGTCCATGGCTGGTGACCACTGAGGAAGCAGTTCCAGGCTGAGCATTGTGTGTAGGTGAGAGGGATGGACAGACACGGCACAACAGTTTGGCCACTACTTGCTTAGTTATGGTTGAAGTGGAGGCCAGTCATTCTGGGTGAGGGTACCAGTAAATAATGTCCATCCTGATGCTACCACCAAAGACTGATACTAGTTCTCCCAGTATCACCAGTTACACAATACATTGCATGGGAAGGAATTTGAATTGCAGCCGCCTTGTTGATGGGAGCCAACTAACTTTTAGCCTATGCTTTTGGCTTTCTAGTACAGTGCTAAGTACCTGGAACTGCTTCACAACTTCCGTTATCTCTTAGAGTACCTGAGACTCCTCTATGTGGTCTGTCCAAAAGTGTGATACCAGAATGTTTCCAACAGAGAGGAACTCAAAGAATATTATTGCTACAGTATTATTTCTAGGATATCTGAGCATCCTTCAACATTCCCCTAAGACCTCATGTTATAATTTTGAGATTTAGGGAGCCTGGGGAACTGCTTTGTGTATGACAGGGGTGCCCAGGATGAGTTAGACCCAGAGCTGGGCTTGAATTCTGAGGCAACCAAAAATGACTGATGGGTCCAAGCCCATGCTTAACTAAGCAAATTTCACTCAATTCCCTGGTTTCCTTCCTATGGAAGTGTTGGCTATGATTAGAATAGTGTTAGTTCTACTTCTATGGTAGCCTTATAGGTCAGGATCTGTGTGTAATAGGACTTCTGCCTCTATCAGCTCCCTGTTAAGCAATAGGACTGGCTGCATAAAGGTTTTTAAAATGAATTTTGTGCAAAAGTGCTTTTTTCCATTTGATGTTTCCTCTGGGGAAAGTGAAAAACTTGGTATCTGTCACACATTTCTTGCCTGGCTTTTTGTTGAAATTCATTTGGAGATGCAGTGAGTGCTGAGGGTTGCTGTAATGTAGGCTGCAAAGTAGTCTAGAATACTCACTTATAAGAAGAAAGAGAAAGAAATAGCCTTCAGAAAAACACGTTGTTTTTGTTTTCAATTATTCCGGATTGTCAATATGCAATATTTAGCTTTTTCTTCCTTTTATCTGATATACAAGAATTGTTTTAAACTCTTCAGTGGACCTTTTTTCCATTCGGGACACAGACACACATCAGAAGAGCAAACCCAAAATTGTTCTCAATAAAACCTCAGGTTTACTGCTAATAAGCCTTTTTATTTATTACTGAAAAGCTTTTATTTTCCCTTTGAAAAAAGGTATCTCATACATTAATTGTTGTCTAGCTGAGCTTGTCATTGCTAGTTCAGTTTCCTATTTATCTTTCTATTTCCTAAAATATTTGTGCTTTTCTTAAAACATATTTGTATGAGTGTGCAATCAGAGCATAAAATCTTTCTGTGACCTAGCTCACAGAAAAGGTGATTTGGCTCCCACTTACACGTGGTCTAATGAACAAGAACTGTAAATCAGCTGAAGCCTGGTGGCCACTCAGCTGGCCTGGCCAAGGTTCAGAGCAGGGCCTTTTGTTTCGTAACTGGGAGCGCCTGAGAAGGTCAATGGCAGAGTGGAGACAGTCTGTTTCACATCAGAAGAACAACACAAACCTGTTTTGTTTTAATTCACACTTGCAACCCGGTTCACAACATCAGTTTCTTACTATTCAGTAGAAATTGTTCTTGCTTGCAGTCCATTTGGGAGCACTGCTCTCACTGGGGAAAGTGGCTCCAGGAGATTTTGACAAAGAATTTAGGTCTTGAGACTAGAAGTATAGACTGCAGGGTGGGCTACAGGTCTTCTTTCCCAGTTTTAGGAAATGCCTCAGATAGCTATGCTATGAAAATCCCAAGCATCTTTACAGTTCATCAGAAATTGAGGTGGGTACACGTGAAATTGTCCTTCTATGTTTTGAGTTGCTCTAGCCATAAATTTGTGAAGTGACTGGGGTAGGGAGCTTATAGGTGGGTTTTCTGAAATTGGGAAAAAGGATAAAAAAGAGTCATGTGCTTTGTCTAGCCCAGCGCGTGCTCCTGGCAATCTGACACTGGTGCAGATCTTCCCATAGTTGCTGTGGCTGTGCTGAAATCTGGAGTGGGGTATTTTGGTGTAGTTGCTCACAAAAACATCTGCGTCTTTTTTGGTATTAGTATGGAACTCGTAGAGAACACTAGTCTATAACCTGCCTACAGAGGAAAACTCCAGTGTCGTCCCTGAAGTCCTCTGAGCCTCGCTTTGTATTTGCTCTTGATACCTTCTCTCCACTTCATAACTATGTGCCACCATGGTTTGCCTTTCTGCTGGGAAGGAACAGCTGGCAACTGTGGGAGCTGAGATTACCCTTGCTCTCTGATCAGCTGCCAGGAATGCAGCATTGAAAATGCACCACTTCTCTTGTGGGTACACTCGTGTTCCCCTGTTCTGGGCAGCAGCAGGACCAAGGTCACTTTAAGAATCTGCCCTGGAGAGTGCCCTGTGAGAGCTATTTATTTAGCCAGCTAAGATGTGGAAACTAGATACAGAGTTCTATTTATTTTTCCCAGTGGCAAAGCTCTGGGTTATTTAGAAATAGTCTCCCCATGCTCCAATTGACCTTCTCTGGGTATATGCCAAGTATCTCTGATTCCCCTGGGACTGTGACTCATGGACTTTATGGGCTTTAGTTAGGCATTTGAGGTCTTCAGGTTGCTGGTGCCATAATTGTAGATCTTTCCAGAACTACCCATATCTGAGGTAAAAGCTACATGGAAAAAACCACAAAACTCTCTGAGATATAGAGATCTCTTGAGTTAACCACCATGAAATCCAAGTGAGTCAGAGATTCAAGGCTGTCTTGCCCATCTCTCATGATGCTGTGCTGCGGAAAAGGTTTTCTGATACCTTTTGCAGGGACAGTTTAAAATAAAACCAGATAACGTTCTGTTTCTCTCAGCTCTGTTTATGTCAGTAGCTGGGATATCTGATATGAGTGTGTGTGGGACGCTCAAATCTTCACTCCATCAACACCTTCTCTAATGTAGCATCTCTGATGCCTCACACAGTGCAATGGTCACTGCTCTTTTCACCTTTCATCTTAATTACTCCCCATTTGTTCCATAGCTTCTACCCTTCTCCTGCTTTCCAGTGTCCCTTTCAACACTGTTGCTTGTTTTCCCAGCTTACTTGTTCTGAGAGATATTTGGATGTGTTGTAGGATGTGGAATGTGACAGTGGAAGAATGCTCTCTAGTCAACCAGGATCCGGGTCTGTTCCATATGGGTCTCCAGGTTGTCAAGTATTAGGTATCCTCATCAATGGCTTTGGAGGCTGTGTGTTTGTGCCTACATGATGTGCAGGCTCTTCTAGGACTCCTCAAGTTGAAGATAAAGTATCAAAGTGGCTGAAAATAAAGAACCAGGTTTTATTCTCCTTTCATATGAGGAAGACCTGTGCTTTAGAAAATGGCAAATGGTGGGATGACAAGTGTCTGCGTCGTTCCCTCCATTATGTTTCCTTTTTCTTCTGTTAAAAGATTGGTGGGCAGTTTTATTAAAGCAATTTGAAGAGTCTTTTAAAATGTCTTTATTTCTCAAAGCCCTATGAGTACATCTATTTATCATACTGAGCAGAGTGGCTCATGGTAATTGTTCACATAAACCTTGTATGAGAGATTGCAACAAGAGTGAGTATTTGTCAGAAATAAAAACTCTTTCTGTGAGTATTCACAATACTTGGCTTTCTACACTGGGCTGTTCCAGTAAAGTTTGACTACTTAATTAAAAGTAGAAAGTGAATAAAAAAGGTCTGGGAATGGCGCCAAATTAATTCACTAGAAAATGTGATATGCAGAAATTATCTGCCTTTGCTCATGTCCAGCATTAACCACTTCTGACATTTGATCACAATTCTTCTTATGTTTGGTGCTTATTGGATAGTCCCAGCTCCTCAGAGGCTTGCTGATAATCTCCCTTTTCATTAAAGGGAGGAAATCCTTCAGTGTAACTCTATTCCACCTGAGGTGGATATCTGGATTCCTCACATACTAAAGGGAAAAAGAAGCAAATTCTCTTCACATGTGGCAAGTGTTTACCTCCAGAAAGTGAGGTGTCATAAAAATGTTTATTTCTCTCTGTGAAGTGGAGGATGAGTCTGGAGTGGGCAACTTGGAAGTAGCACG